TTTCCACACAGCTTCCCTGGTCCAGCCTCCTGAGACTTGTTGCAAGTCCTGCAAGCAACTTTGTTTTTTTTTCAGATGAAGGTTCCTTCAGTGAATTCCTTGGGGCTGTGCAGCAGAGGTTGGCTGCAGCGTGGCAGTTATTTTGAATGGCCTGTCCGTGTGGCTGTTCAGACAAGTCTGTTCTAAGCAGTGCCAACCTCCACATCCCATGGAGCTGTGCTTTGCACAGAGTGCCAAAGGGAAGGGAACAAAGGAGTTTGCACAGCTTTGCACTCTTTGCATCCATGAGGACGTTCAGACCTGGCATGGCCTGCTTTAATCGATGGGTGCTTTCACCTAGCCTTGAAGGGTTACTTTGCTCTGACCATCCTGTCCCACCTATCCCAGTGTGCCCCACAGGCACCTCAGGAAGAGAATTCTGCTTCCCCTAAGAAGTCTGACTCCTCTGCTCACTGGTTCCTAGGCTCTCACCTCTGTTCATGTAAGTGTCCCAAGCAGCCCAGGCCTGTGAGAAGAAAACCCAACAGCTGTCAAAGTCCCTCAGTGTCATCAGATGGATTCATGCCTTTTCTACTAGGAAAGCCAGCAAGCACTTGAATGAGAAAAGGGAGGGGACAGTTGAGAGGTGGATCAACCTACTTGTGAGATATATCAGTTTTGGTTTGGCATAGGTAGGCTAAAGACCCTTCAAAGCCTGGGACACTAGCAAGAGCAGCAAAGCAGAACACATAGGCAATGCCTCTTTTGGCCTCTCTCTGCTCCATCTCCTTGAAATACCCTGTATTCTCCTTTTTCCAGAGATGAGGACTCCTGTTGTGTCTCTGGCTATTCATACCAGTGTTGTGGGGGGTAAAGGGGAAAGAGGGCCACAAAGAATACAGTTTGCTGTGCATGCAAGGGCAGTTTTGTTTGATGTATCTCAAAAATTGCTTTAGGGATTACACATAAAATACTTTCTAAAATTTATTAACACACACAAAACACACCTCTTGTCCAAGATCAAACGGCATCTGCTTTCCCAGTCATAAATAATGAAGTGATGAGGAATGTAAATGCAGTTGTGTTTCAGTCACCACTATTACACATACTTTGTCAGCAGGGGGCTGGAAAACTGGATCCCATACAACCCATGTGGCAGAAGTGGGAAGATCATCTGTTCAGAGCAGCTGCAGCTCTGCTAGAACCAGGTTCATGTGCCAGCAGGAAGGTGTCACTGCAGAATATGGTACTGCCACTTTCTCCTGCAAAGGAACAGTGAGCACTGGGTGACATCCTCTGGCTTTTCAGGTTCGTGCAGAAATGGGAGATGAAAATGAAGAGCAGTTCTAAGAATACCCCTCACATCTGGGTTCCTATTCGCACTGCACAGCAGCTGTGCTAGGTAATAGACATCCCTCTGTGAAGGGTGACATGTATTCCCAAATCTGGTCCTGCCAGGGCACAAGAAATTGTGATGCTTGGGTCACTCTAGGGAAAAAAAAAAGCAAAAAACCATGGATAACAACACTAGGAGCAAAAGATTTATTGTAGAGATGTCATTCATCCATCTGCCTATCTTAGGTATTTCTAAAGTGCCACAGTATTACTGTAATATCCAAGCACCATTAGCACAACAGGACTTTACAGGATTCTAGAGGATTCTCAGCTGGCAGGAGTATGTGGCCACCATCTGACCACAGGTCTGGGCTGAAGTGTGCTATGGATGGTCTGCTGGAATGATAATAGCTTTTTCTTCTTGTTTTTTTCTTTTTTTCCAGTTGTCTATAATCCTGAGGGAGGAAATGGCTGGTAGAGAAACCAGTGAGCTAGCTGCTGTGAAAATAAACCTTCTAGTTCTCACCTTTCTGCACATGCCCATACCTCTGTTTTCTGAATTTGGCTTGTGACTTTGTGCTGTGTGCTGCCCATGAAGCCATTCAATCCCTGGAAGAGGAGGAACTGTAACTTCTGCAACAGCAGAGCAAGGGTGGTGCCCACATTCTTCTCTCCAGCTGGATGACCACAAACAGTAAAGAGCAGACAGGCCAGGGGAAGTGAATTATCTCAGCCAAGTGACACTGAACAGGGAAAACTAACAGTGGCTGTGGAAAGGAACTCCAGCAATGTGCTTACACTGGTGAGCAATCCCATCCTAGCCGCTATAGCTACTGCACTGGCAATGTGCTGTGAACCCTAAGGCCACTCTGATTTGGCATACAGTTCTAAATACATTCATAGAGGACTCAGAAATAAATGCACATCAATCATTCTCATTTCCAGAGCTCTGCTAAGTATACACAGCACTTCACAAAGCATGTAGAAAGGAAAAGAAGCGCTCCAAGGACTGCTGTGAAAGAGTATTCACAGGGGCAACTGGCTTCTCAGAGCAGAATCTCAATGAAACACAAACTCAGAAGTTTCCCCTTTGAGTTGAGCTCAGCTACGTGCAGCCCTGGGTTTGACGTCAGTGATCTGCCACAGAGACTCCGTTCAGACTGCCAAAAGAAAAGTTGTATTCACAAGATGCCTTTCCCTGGCACACAGGGCTTCTCAGCCAAACAGGCAGCTTTAGTGCTGCAGATTTCCTGGAGGAAATGTAATCTGGAATGGGACAGACCCACACAAACTGATCAGCTCTACAGCTGCACTGCAGCATAACCTTTAACTTCAGTTTAAAATGAGCCTACCAGCTGAGGGCTGTAGTACCCCTTCTGCAAGTCTGCTAGCAAATGAAAACCTTGATGCTTCTGGAACCTATTAGATGACCATTAATCACATTTCCAAACCACTTTCCAGAAGTGGAACAGAAATCAAGGAGTCATTGGTTTGATCATGTTCATAAAAAAAAAAAAAAGAAAACCAAACAAAACTAAAACCAAACAAAACTAAAACCAAAATGTGCATTTGCAAATGAAGGCTTTGGTTCCTGTGTAAACAAAGCCCATCTCATTTCTCAAAGCTCCTTCTACTTCCCTGAGCAGCTGCACATAAAGGTGCCTTGTTCTTCCAGGAGCTGTGAACAATTTCATGCTTCCCCTACAGCTCCTTTTTATTAAACTAGATGAAAATAACATTTTATCAGCAGTTGAGTGTCACGAAGTGGCTTGGGGCTTGCAGAAAAGCAAGATCTGTGCAATCCCTTGGAGAGTAGCACGTTTTGTAGAGCAAGCCAGTCCCAAGCATTTCTGACCACCAGCTGCTCAAATCCGTGGGTCTCCCTGACATCTTCATTTCCTTGATCTCTTCCCCATCACAGCTCCAGTCCTTTCACTGGCTTCAGGCTGCATTCCCTCTTCCAGAGACCTACTGAAGCCACAGAGCCAGCTGCACAATTAGTAAGGTACATCACAAAACTGGAAATTGAAGATCCAGCAGTGCTGGATAAACACGTCAGTATCATCACCAAAATGATCAGCAGCAAACCAGTCAAAAATATACAGTGAAAAGTGTTGCACTGCAATTCCTTGTAGTTAAAAACCACGAGGGGGGTACATCCTACCAGTGCCACTGATATGTACCTGTGTAAAACAAGGGGGAGAGCATCACACTGAGCAATGTTTAGAAGTCATTCTTTGCAACCATGGGAGCCACACATTTTTTGTAGATACACAACTCAATTCCAGATCTTGAACACACACACAGGAAGTCATCAATGTAAAACTGAACGTCCTGATGTGAAAATCCAGATGTTTTAATACAAAACCTATTTCTCCTGGATTCTTACTGAGAGATGGTAGTATATACAGATTGTTGAGGGTCTTGAGAAGTCCTGATATGGTGAAGAGTCACACAGCTGGCCCTTCTGACCACTGCCACGGTGTGTGCACGCATGACTGCTCACATGTGAGAGTGAAGATACACTTACGATAAAAACTAGTTTGTCCATACGTGAATACATACATGTAGATGTTATTTACACACACACACCTCGGTCAAAACAGGACTTGAGAATACTGGTATGCAATCAGGTCAGTCCTGGAGTGCTGCTGCTCTGTCCTATTTTGCAACACAGCTTACACCAGCACACTTGATCCATATTTGTAAATTGAATTCTGCAGAACAAGGAGGCTACCAGCACAAATTCAGTGGTGAGCTCCATTTACTTGTCAGGCTGTGTGTACCAAAGTCTTAGCTGCAGCAAGCACAATACTGATTTTTGGTTTTTTTAAGCTTCCAGATGTGATAGTTTGCTACATCAGTTTCCCCCCAGTTCTGAGATTCCAGAACAGGCCGTGCCCCTGCCCTGCAGCTCCCATGTTCCTTCCATCCAAGCAGCATTTGCACAAACCTTTGCAGCATGCCTTCCTTCTCTGGTCTAGGGCATGCTCATGTGTTCCTTTTACAAGCAGGCTCTAGTGGTCTCTGCCTGTGCTTCACACTAGCCTGCATGCTGTATATGCATGATGCAGTCTCCTGCTTCTCCGCAGGACTTACTGAGCTTTGACCTTCCTGACTGCTGTGTGAGACACAGAACTGGCTTAGACAACAGAAGCATGGTGAGCATCCATAGACCTGTGCATAATATAGGTCACAACATTTCAGCTGAGAGTGGAACAAAGCCCCTTAGCGACCTCACGTTCCACCTCACTTCCCTTGACACAACCACACGTGCATACATTGCATCACCAAGCAGCTTCTCATCACGTGGCGTGATGTCCATTCCCTCCTCAGGCTCCCAGTCACACACCTTTCATGGGGAGGTGGGAGAACACACCTCCACCTTGGCCACATGGCATTTGATTCTAGTACCAGAGAAAGAGGATGACAGGGCCTTGGGATTCAGAACTACCCGCTGCAACCACTGCTCACTTTCTGTCCATGCCCAAGGTGCGCTGGGAGAAGGAGGTGAATGAAACAGGCAACACAGGCCAAAGGAATCCCTTTGGCCAGGGATCTAAAATCCAGGGGCCCTACTGTAATCACAGCCTTGTCCACCCCCTTGCTTCTTAGGCACATTTTGGACAGGCCTAGATCAGAAGCTCATCCTAGATCACCCCCAGACCGCATCACTAGGATGCTGCCTACCACACGTGCACCCGCTGGTGTGAGACTAAGTAGGAGTTGCGACTGAAGCTCTTCCCACAGTGGGAGCACTTGAAAGGTTTCTCCCCAGTATGGGTGCGACGATGACGGATGAGGGTCGAGTTGTCACTGAAGCAGGTGCCACACTCGGCACACTTGTAGGGTTTCTCCCCAGTGTGGGTACGACGGTGCTGGACAAGGTGTGAGCGCTGGCTGAAACTCTTCCCACAGTCCGGGCACAAGTACGGCTTCTCACCCGTGTGGACCCGCCGGTGGATGACCAGCTTAGAGCTCTCACTGAAGCACTTGTTGCAGTCAGCACACTTGTAGGGTTTCTCGCCCGTGTGGAGCCGCTGGTGGGCCATGAGGTTGGAGCTGTCACTGAAGCGCTTCCCGCACTGGGGACACTTGTAGGGTTTCTCGCCCGTGTGGAAGTTGGCGTGGCGGAGCAGGCCCGAGTTCTGGTAGAAGTTCCTCCCACACTTGGCACAGACATAAGGCCTCTCGCCAGTGTGGTTGCGCTGGTGCTGCACCAGGTGGGTGCTCTGGCTGAAGCTCTTCCCGCAGTCCTTGCACTGGTATGGCCGCTCTCCCGTGTGGACGCGCTGGTGCTGGACGAGGTGGGCGCGGCGGCTGAAGCTCTTGCCGCAGTCAGCACACGCGTAGGGCTTCTCCCCGCTGTGGATCCTCTGGTGGCGGAGCAGGTCGGAGCTGCGGTTGAAGCTCTGCCCGCACTCGATGCAGATGTAGGGCTTCTCCCCCATGAAGGCTCGC